AAGTCGGGGTGGGGTGTGGGGGCTGCCCAGCTGCCTCCTAGTCCCCCCACTCCCAGTTCAACCCCTTTCTTAGTCATGGTTCTGACAAAGAATCTATGTTCTTCTCTAAGCCCAGATGAGTATTTGAAAGCCGAACTCTGGGTCTAAATGTTTAACATGTGGCCTCTCTCCCCCTCCTTTCATGCCTAAAGTCTCATCCCGGAAAAAGCATCTGTAGCTTCGGCAGAATTCATTCAAATGCTGGTTCCGGCCCCACCTCACTCCCACTCTTGTCCCAAAGGCCTTGAATCTACATTTTAATACGCTCCCTAGATGTTTTAAACACTGGAGGTTCCTGGACTTCATTTTGAAAAACTGAGTTTGAAAGGAACAGCTTTACAGATGGAAAGCTCCACGGGGGTAGTTGCAAGTTGTGTTCACTGGCCTGTATCCTCCAGTTAACAACTAGAACAGAGGCCCAGATACAGCAGAGGCTCAGAGAGTAGATGGATGGAAGGAGGACAAATGGAGTGATGGATGGAGGGAGGATGCACGGCTAGATGGGTGGGTGGGTGGATGGATGGTGGGAAGAGAGATGAGCATAGGCCTGGAGTATTTCCCAAACAGTACAAAGCTGGCTGGAAGCACTGCACCGCTTATTTAAACTGTCGAGCTGAAAACCGTGCTAACCAGGGCTGAGTGATTTTTCATGGAGAGTTCTGTGAGGATACGAGAGCCTCTGTAACATGGACAACATGTCCACAGGACAGGCTGACCAGATGCGGGCTTGGGAGCTACGGGCCACAAGTGAATGAAAACGCTTCCAATTCAGAATCAAATAAACATGCCTGGGCCCACAGCCAAGCAGAATTCTTGGATTGGACTTTTATCAGGAACCTAAATTTTAACCAGCTGGAACTCCCCCCCACCCCAGTACCACTCTATTCCTACCTTTTGCAATGAACTATTTGCCTTAAATGGGAAACTTGAACTTCACTGTAAAGATTATGCCAGCATCCTAGCTTCCTGAATTTCCTGCAGGAGCTGACTTTTTAGGAGGAGGCACTGTGTTTTGGTGCTAATAGGACAGAGGTGTACTGTATTTAGATAAGGAGGACAGAAATGTTGGCTCTCCCCATCTTCAGGCAAAACCATTAAATGAAAACGTGTGGCAATGGATTCCTGACTCATTTCCAATTCATGTCTGACCTGCCAGTGCAATTCCAGAGGCTGAAAATTATATGGGAGGAGACTGTCCATCTTTCTCCTGCAGAGCAGCTGATGGATTCAAACCACTCACCTTTCAGTTGTCAGTACACCTCCTTATCCACTAGGCCACTGGCTCCAGAAGGGGTAAGGAAGGGAAAAATCTCTGCAAAATGACTGATAAATTGTAAATTACTCATCACAAACAAAACCACTGTCCTATCAAGAAACAAGCAGCATTCGGAGTCAGTAAAATGGAGGATGTTGGCCTCTCAAAAAGTCTCACAAATCCGCTTGAGAAAACAACTATTTACTGCTTAAAGAGCAACTTCACCTGCCAAGAGCCTAAGAGGTTTTGGTTTTGTTGGGTTTTTTTTTAAGTAGTAAAGGAAGTGCACCCACAACTAAAACACCAAGCAATGTTCAAGATGGTATCAGCGTCTTAATTGGCCTGCTAATAATGGGGAAGTTGTGAAACCTGACCACTTAAACCAGGCCGGGCTCTTCAAAAAGCAGCCCCACAGGGTCTCTGTGCAGAGCAGAGTGGTGAGGGCTATTTGGCTGTCATCACACTGCAAATCCTGGGGAAATACTCCTGCTGGAGTAAGGGTCCCTGGAGATCATTCACTCAGCTCCTCTCTAGCACCCACACCTTGCTCCTCCTTCTGGAGGGACTCCTGCATCCTGCTGACCCTCTCCCAGACTCGGAGTATGGCTCAGATGGCAGGAAGCCCCTGTTTGTCTGCATCACATATAACCAGCCCTTATTCCTAATTTCTTTACATAATTTCAACTCTAGACTGTGTGCAACCTCAGAGCTGAGGCCAACATCTATGGACTGAATGCCTACTGTGTGCAAGGAACATTCTAGGCGCTCAGGAAACACACACACACACACACACACACACACACACACACACA